GCCCTCACGGCTGAAAGGGCGAGCATGTTTGGTGGGATGCGGATTCGAACCCGCGACCCTCAGATTGTGAGTCGAGCGCCTTATCCACCTGGCCATGCTGGGCACCTGTGATATATGGTAGAAAAACTCGATATTTCAGATGCTTCTGATAGTAGAGCCCCCTAGCGACCTGGCTATGCCGGGCCAGATTCTCTTCGATATAAGAACAGTCCTCATTCTTAAAAAAGATATGTAAATATACTGCTGTGATATATGGTAGAAAAACTCGATATTTCAGATGCTTCTGATAGTAGAGCCCCCTTGGTGGCTCAGGGGCAAGCTTGAGGGTTTATTTATAACACTAAAATTTGTGGTTTAATCCCCATACTTTGCAGATAGCCCACTTTGCGCTTAATTGAATCGCACAAATAAATTGATACTACAATTTAAAGAACTTACTTATATTTATAATTTCTAAAATACCACTAACATAGGAAAGGAAAATTATCACTTCTTTCCTAAAACTAGCCGGTGAATTAGGCTTAAAAAGTAAATCCAAAATGTCTTTATGTTTATTAGGTCAAGGAACCAACTACATTCTTGATCACTTACACCAGACGATTCCAAAGTTTTGGTTATCGAACAAACAAATGGATTTATGTTGTTTGAAATATTTTGAAAATATGCTAAATATTTATATCTTCATTTTTTAAATGTAAAGGCTTTAAAGAAACTATTTTCTATTTTTCCTGTGTATCTTTTCAGAGAAAGTGATAATTACGTAGTACCGCAAATCTTCATTTAAAAGTATTACGTATAGTCCATAACAATAATATTCAAATATATAACATGCAGAGGTGACCCGTAGCAAGCTGTAAACGATAACAGACGAGTGAGGGACTTGTTTGTTTCACCAAACACAAACAGATTCAAAACAATCTATATTAAGCATTTTCAACGTAAATATGAAATGGGCCAATTTGAATCTTAAATCCTTACGCAATTGACTCAAATTAAACCCTGAGATTAACTTACCATGTTCGTTTTTTGTAATCATCGAAAAGGATTTTTGGAGCACAAACATTGCTCTCTCGGCACACTAAAAGTTAATTATTGATTTTCTTTTCGCTTGAACAGATTCCCAAGAAGCTTTAGTCATCGTACTTTTAACGGAGCAAATAAGTCTTTTTGTTTTTTAAGGATGATTAAAACTTCCATCAAAATGCTTTAACAAATGGAGATAATGCTTTGGTACATTCTTTAAAGACATTCAAGCTGGTGTGAAGAGCAATGTAACGCGAAGTTGTCTTTGATACATTCCCTAATTGTGTCCAAGCTGGTGTGAAGAGCCATGTAACGCGAAGTTGTCGTTGATACATTTCCTAATTGTGTCCAAGCTGGTGTGAAGAGCCATGTAACGCGAAGTTGTCTTTGCTACATTCCCTAATTGTGTCCAAGCTGGTGTGAAGAGCCATGGTGTTACAATAGTTTCAGCTTTTCACGGATTAAGATTGTAATTTTTAAAAGTTAGAGGTGTCAGGGATAAAGTAGCTTTCGTGAAAGTCGTGAATACCTTTAAATCCTTTGACCTTCGAAGGACAAGTAAGGATCTTTGTATTTTCTTTTCTGGCTATATGCATGGAGGTCCATTGTTTTTTCGCTGAACCGTAGTTTGCTATGCACTGCACAATGAGATTAATTTTAACTAGGTTCTGTATCATACTACTCTGCTTGCATTTCAATAGAAGCCAGAACAAAGTATAACCAATATTGATGAAGATTAGATTAATGAGTAACCTAATAAATGAACTAATAAAATGTATTTTCTTATCGCGCAAGTAGACATTCTCCAATAAGCTGAAGTATATAATAAAAAAAAATCACTAAGTTGTTGAATATAAGAAAATGACTCCATTTATGTTGTTATTTTACCTGATACTTTTGGTATATTTTTTAGAGTATTTTGGTGCACATTTCTACTTACTCTTAGCATACCATAATGTTTATCTTCATACTTTATAGAGAGATATAGACACTGTTACACCACTATGCTTTCCACAAACAGAGTAGATAAAGAACTGATACACCGTAATAATTATGTACTTACCTCAAACAGACACAAGCACCGTTGTACCACCGTACTCACCTACATACTGTAAACGCACTGAAACATCACATAAAATAAATCCTAATATATATTGCAAACAAAGACAACACACATAAATCTACACATCTATACTACAAACAGACACTGATACCAGCACACACAAGAAACCTACATATACATTGCAAACAGACACATCACATAATAACATAATACAAATTAAAATCGACCGAGTCGTGAAACTAGCGACACATATGTGGCAAACTGTTCAAAATACTTTCACGCTATTCTACTTACCTGTGTGCTACGAGAATATACAGACAATATTGTACTTACCTGTGTGCTACTAGAATATGTAGACAATAGTGTACTTACCTGTGTGCTACGATATTACACAGACAATAGTGTACTTACATGTGTGCTACGAGAATACACAGACAGTAGTGTGTTACAAGAATATACAGACAATACTGTACTTACCTGTGTGCTACTAGAATATGTACACTATAGTGTATTTACCTGTGTGCTACTAGAATATGTAGACAATACTGTACTTACCTGTGTGCTACGATATTACACAGACAATAGTGTACTTACA